TGCTTCACAAACTGTCCAGGTTAATGGCTGCCATATCCATGTCCCAGACTAAAGCACCACTTTGATTTCGGGCACAGTCTCTGTCTGCGCTGCCCCGGCTGCTCTCCTGGACCGGCCCAGGACTCGCCGGTGTCCTCCCAGTGCAGATGTCCCACTGCTGATTAAAGGCCGTTAATTATCCAGCTGACCAGGGTCTGTCCTGACGTGTCCGCCCTGACGTGTCCGCAGAGCGTCGCACCGCAACAATATTCTCGCAGTTCTGTCTTTAGAGTGGCGTGGGCTGATTTAGACTCTGTGTCAGATGAGTTAAAAAAGTGAAGGCAGCTGTGGGCCTCGCTCGCCCAGCACCCTCGGGTTTCGAGTAGATAACAGATTCTCTTACCCCCGGACCCGAGACCCGTCCTGAACTCGGACCGAACCGGCTTCCCTCCTCCGGGCGCAGCCGGCTGTGGACTACACATCCCGGCGTGCACCGCACGGCCGGTCTTCCGCCCCCCCCCGAATTAAGCAGGACGTCGCTGTGCTCCGGCGTTGCTGACAGCATGGCAAAGCTGTTTAAGGGTTCGTGGGCAAATATCCCACAAGCAACGCGACTTACTCGCCGGGGTTCACGCTTCCTGGCGGACTAGGCTGGGGCCCGGCTGTGTTGCGCCTGTGGACAGCGCGGACCGGCAGCTGCACCGGGCTCTAGCTGGGGTCCCAGAGCCGTGACAGCCCCTTCACCAAGCCCACCCTCTGGGTCAGCGGGGGGCCGGAAACGACGCGGTGTTTCAAAAGCCTTGCGGGTTGCGGCAAACGTGAGGTGCGCAGAGCGCGAGTGAAGTGCGGCTCAGCACCCCGGCCATTGCAACAGCACCACAAACGCCTGAGGGAAAAAACAAACAAACAAACAAACAAACATTTTTCCGTCTCTCAGGATCACCCTGCTCTCTCGTCTCTTCGTCCCCACGCGAAGCAGGAACTGAAATCCACCGGACACGGGTTTCCCGTCGGGGCGAGAAGGGGGACGGACGCCTCGCTGCCAGGTGGGGGAGATGATGGCGATAAACAAAGGGAGGTCTCAGCCGCAGGAGCCGTGAGCGGAGACGGGTTCGTCCAGGTAATCTGAGCATCTCCTTCCCTGGGGCCGCGCCGTGCGAGACCGGGAGACACACGGCTGTTACTTCTCCGGCCTTCTTCACCGTGGCCCCGGGAGAAAGAGACCCCCTTTCGACCGAAAACAAGCCGAAACGGTTCTTGAATGAATTCTGCCTGCCGTGAAAGTCATTTCACTGTAAATCTTCGTACGGGGTTACGTCTCTGAACAGGGTGCCGAGTAACTAACATTATTTATGTGTTAGTTTAATAGTTTCATTGAGCCCGGTCTTAGCGGACCCCCTCCGCCCTGTCCGGTAAACGTCTCCGGTACAGCGGAGTCAAGTGTGCGGGGCTGCACCTCTTGCTCACACCTTTGTGAGATGAACTACTGTTGCTTAGTTGCCTTGCGCCGCTGTGAATCATCATCATGTCAGATTTAAACATCGCTCCCTGCCCTTGAGAGCGAGCAGCGTCTGCAGGGAGACGGCGCACCGGCGTGTTCTCATCCCGTCATCCCCAGACTGACCAGGAGTCCACAGCTTTAAGATAGATCCCTTTATTGGCCAGATACGATTTCTTGCATTAGGAATCTGTCTTCTCACAGACCCCAGCTTGCTCTCTATGAGACACACACACATTGAGAGAAGCTGGGGGTCAGAG